TGACAGTGTACTCGTGGGACTTGACACAAAAAAAGTGATTTCGTGTCGCAGATACTCAATATATATTTATTTATGTTGGGGGTTGATAGTTTTCAATAATTCGCTTGACCTAATTATGAAAAATTCGCAGCCTCGATAGGAGTCTAACCCACACGGCAGGGTAGGCTTTTGCGCAGCCAACGCCTTACCATTGAGCTACGAGGCTCACCGTGCGCCACGAATGTAATCACACTTGGGCCGATTGTTTTTGCCCAGCTTTACTACACGTATGGAATCCACCAATACGGACGCAGTAAGCTGACCGCCAGGCAGAATTTTTTAAGTAATCATCCGGTAGATCCTAGCACAATGCGAACAAAAAAGGGTTGACGCCTACTAAAATGCATATGGTAGTTATTTACGTATAGTTGTCTAACACCCACGGGCAACTTAAGAGTTACCTTTCTGACCACCCAAAAACGTCCGATTTCGCCCAAATCTTTCGTCCTCTGATAAAACTTAATTGAATTGCAATATTCTTTAGTGTAAGGCTTTCGGTGCCTTAATTCTATTCAACAAACAAATATAAAAATAATCAATGTATGACTTTTCATCAATCAGATCACTGTACAGGTTGAGGTTTCGAAGCTATGCCCTAATGCATACAAATTATTATTGTCGACTATAGATGTTTCTATATGCGAATAAGTTGACGTTTTGTTCTCTAATTTTGTAGAGCGTTCCGGATTTGGATTGTGAAACGGTCGCCGTTGTTGGCATGGGAAACGTCGCACTTGACGTAGCAAGGATTCTCCTCTCGCCAATCGAGCGCCTGGGGGTTCGTCTTATGCTTTTTCGTATTTATTTATCACTTACGTCCGTTTTAGGCTTTTACTTCCGATCCGCCACGCTAATAGAATTTGTTTCACCAGTATTCAGACAACTTTGGCCGCTTAAGGCAGTCTGCGTGAAGGTCTTTTGCATCCTTGTTGTTAACATCCCCTATTCTTATGATTTTACCGATGTCTTATCCCCGTAATTACCATTAAATTTGGTCTCTTTGTTCTTTGCTGCATACTTACTCCATTTAATACCTTCCGCCAATCTCCAGCCTCGACGCCAAGTCATTCTGTCGGAGCTTGCATGTCGCATATACCTCACAGCTGATTAGTTAGTTACTTAGCTGTAGATATGAGCTAGTTTGAATAATTTTCGTTCAAGTGTCTGGCTCATCCAGAGCTGATTTCCGAATATCTGTCACTTCTTGGTGCCTCACCCTGCTCATAAAAATGTGTTGTTGCCGTATCTTGCAGAATACAGATATCCCAGAGCCCGTTTTGTCGGTTCTGTCTACCAGTCGTGTACAACGAGTAGTTGTCGTCGGCCGAAGAGGTCCCCTTCAAGTGGCATTCACTCTGAAGGAGTTTCGGGAGATGACCCAACTGCCATCTTTGCGTCACATTCGGGATCCCGACAACAATTTGACCATCAAATTCACCCCGCTCGGTGTCCTGGGTGGGACGCTAGGTACCGGTTCCAGCCTGGAACAGGTGATTGAATGTAGGTTTCCTTTTTTGCGCCTTTCATTCGTCTGTTTTGTGTCTTTCTGCTTTTCTGGCCCTGGCTGTCCCTCTATCTGCATTTTTGCCTGTCGCTGTTGATTTACGTCTTCCTCTTTTCATAGTTTCAATCCTAGTTTACGCCAATTTTATCCTATTCGCGTATCTTTTGCTTAAGTTCCTCTCGACCTCTGCCCCACCTTCCCTGAGTCGATCAACCCGCACTTTTTAGTTGTTTTAGGATATGCCACTTTTTGATCGAATGCTCTAATTCCCTTCTTATGCCGAAGGTTCCGCTGGGTTCCGTTAGTTTCCTCACCTTGTTTGTCCTAGTTGTCGATAACTTCGTCCCCGGTAGTGAAGCCATTGCGTTTACAGATGATATCAAACTGTCATAAACGAAGTTGATGAGGAGCAAATTCTAACATAGCTATACCGTCTCAAGCATTGGCCGACGAATTGGCTTCTAGCTGTAAGCAAGTTTCACCCTGGCGATCGCCAAACGTTGGTCTGGAGACGGTAGAACATGCTATGTGACACGACTCTCCAGGAAGTAGAAGTTCTAAAAAGTTTAAGCGCATAGATCACAGCTGTTCTCGGTCCATCGCCATACCAGTTCCGCGATGTAAATTCTGCGTCTCATCAGGTATGTCTTCGCCAGCTTTGACGAGCAGTGCTTTGCCAAGATATACAGCATATTTGTGCGAACACAACTTGAATACGCTGTATGGGCATGAAAATTATAGGCTTGGGAAGAAAACACTGCAAGGCGCAACTAAGTTGACTCTAAGACTAGGTTGTTGGTCTTGCGGGAAACAACTTTCACGTCTGAATCTTTCCCGTGAGTTATGGGACCGATGGGCGAACTTTAGATGACTCAATGACCGAAGAACTCCAGTTCGTATCCTACATCATCCAAACCTGGGTGTGGGTAAGGCTGACTGGACGGCGACGCCTAATAGGTCGGCAGTGGCCGCCCCAGTCACCTGGCCGTTTTCGGAACCCCGTCTGTGCATAGTTTACCAATCGCCGTGCGACTGTGGATGCACTAGACCGAACCCCAATCCACAAGTACGTCCGGTTACCTGGTCGATGAGCACACCCTTTTACGATAGAATTATCTCTAGCTGTTAGGGAGGACGCAGCCTTTTTTGATTTTTCAAAAATTTTCGATTTTTTAACGTAGGTGGGTTTTAAAATCAATCATAAAATAATTTCTGATATGTTTTCTGTGGTATTCGCGCTCTTCTATGCCCGGCTTCAGCGCCACTCCTCACAACGTATCTAAATCTATTGCTGTATTTTATGAGAGTCGGGATGTCTCTTTAGCATCTACATTGCGTGGGAGGGGGAGGGAGCTTAGAATTTCTCAACCGTTTTTTTTTACTTTGTGAACCTCTACTCCCCTAATAGCAAAACGAACTCGATTTGGCCGCCTGTTCGAGCTCGAAAAAACGAGCTCCAAGCGAGCTCG